GAGAGAGAAAGAAAGGGAGAAAGAGAGAGAGAGAGAGAGAGGAGTAGAGAGAGAAGCTGTTCCAGCTCTGAGTGAGGGCAGAGAGACACACAGGTGGACGTGAAGCACACCTGAGAGAGATAGTCCTGTTTACACACACCTTCATGTCTGCTCAGGTGAGATCTAACTCACACCTGTTAACTCAGTATATGTGACGTCACGGAATCAACGGGCTGCGTAAAACTTTAATTTCTTTTTTTTCTTTCCAAGAATCAGAAGAAGATCTACTTCAACACTCCGTGAGAAGTGATCCGGATTCAGACGCTGGTACGGGTCTGGACCGTAACTCCCACTTAGGACCGAGTCAATAAACTGATCCTGGTCTGAGCTGACCCGGGTTTAATCATGTACCAGGGTCTGAGCCTGTCCTCCCCCCAGACCCCGTACCCCCACGACACCGGGACCTACCTCCACGCCGCGGCCAGCTCTCCGGTCTACGTCCCGACCAGCAGGGTCCCATCCATGCTGCCGCCCCTGCCCTACCTTCAGACCTGTGACCCCCAACACCAGACTCACGGCTGGCCTCAGGACGGCTCCGGGTTCAGCCCCAGCAGCCCCCCGCATCCCCCGCACGGCTTCTCGTTCACGCACAGCCCGCCGCTCGGCAGCAGCTCGGGCCGGGACCCCGGCTACCAGAGCCCGCTGCTGCTGGGTAACGGAGGGAGGGGAGATCAGTACGGAGGTGCCCTGGTCCGCTCTGTGGGGGGGTCTTACTCCGGCCCATACGCATACATGAGCCCGGAGATGGCCTCGTCCTCCTGGACTCCGGGACCGTTTGAGAGTGGAGTGATCGGCCTGCAGGGCCGCGGAGGGAGCACCGCCAGGAGGCCCAGTCTGGGTGAGTAAACCGGACCGACTCTAGCCGAGACCAGGGAATGAGACCAGAGCTCGAGTATGAACCCAAAAATAATTATAAATCTATATTTTATATTATATTATAAATATATAAGAGAGAAAGGATTAATTATGACGTCATAATAAAGGAAAGAGAGGTCCGCGTGCTCCAAAACCTCCAAGATAAAAAACACGTTCAGCATTTTATCACCAACACACTTAAAATATTCTGATTTAAATCAAAATATTATTCTGATTTAAATTAAAATATTATTCTGATTTAAATCAAAATATTCTGATTTAAATCAAAGTATTCTGATTAAAATTAAAATATTCTGATTTAAAGTATTCTGATTTAAATGAAATTATTCTGATTTAAATGAAAGTATTCTGATTTAAATTCAATTATTCTGATTTAAATTCAATTATTCTGATTTAAAGTATTCTGATTTAAATTAAATTATTCTGATTTAAATGAAAGTATTCTGATTCAAATTAAATTATTCTGATTTAAAGTATTCTGATTTAAATTAAATTATTCTGATTTAAATTAAATTATTCTGATTTAAAGTATTCTGATTTAAATGAAAGTATTCTGATTTAAATTAAATTATTCTGATTTAAATGAAAGTATTCTGATTTAAATTAAATTATTCTGATTTAAATTAAAGAATTCTGATTTAATGATGTTTAGATATTAAACGTGTGAATCCTCTCTGAGTTCAGGTTGATATTTAGTTTTTAAATCTTTTAAGTCTCTAAACGTCATTAAACATTTCTTCTTTATATCATTAAAGTCTGATTTATTAATGTCATGAGAGTTAAAAACACTTCAGAATAAATATTTAAATAATAAATAATCTATAATAAATAATAAATAATTAGTGTGTGTGTGTGTGTGTGTGTGTGTGTGTGTGTGTGTGTGTGTGTGTGTGTGTGTGTGTGTGTGTGTGTGTGTGTGTGTGTGTGTGTGTGTTTGTGTGTGTGTTGTGTGTGTGTGTGTGTGTGTGTGTGTGTGTGTGTGTGTGTGTGTGTGTGTGTGTGTGTGTGTGTGCGTGTGTGTGTGTGTGTGTGTGTGTCTGTGTGTGTGCGTGTGTGTGTGCATGTGTGCGTGTGTCTGTGTGTGTGTTTTAAAGGTCACAAACTAAAAGAGGAATCTTTACTGAATCCATACCTGTTGGTTACCACGGCAACAACAAAACAATGAACTAACTGTCAGATTGTCTGAGACTGAGCGAGCGACAGAGACCGTTTCACAATCCTGTGATGTCATACTTCAGGTCACACGGCGTGATGGAGACGGGATCAAACCAAATGTTGTACTTAAACGCTTTGTGTTGTCCCGTGTGTCCTGCGTGCTCAGAGCTCATGGACGACATGTCCACTGAGGGTCGGGAGTGTGTGAACTGCGGCTCGGTGTCCACGCCGCTGTGGCGCAGGGATGGAACCGGACACTACCTGTGCAACGCGTGCGGCCTCTACCACAAGATGAACGGAATCAACAGACCGCTAATCAAACCGCACAAACGACTGGTGAGAGACACACACACACACACACACACACACACACACACACACACACACCGTTTAGCTCCACTGAGCCACAGCAGTCCGTAATGTGGCTTAGTTGGTACAGTTGGTCGTCTTTCAACTGGAAGGTCAAGGGTTTGATCCCCAGCTCCTGCAGACACATGTCCAATGTGTCCAAGAAACTTAAACCAGATTTCCTCCCGCTGCTTCGTTGGCGGAGTGTAAGTGTGTATGAATAGATGAGTTAATACTGATGGACTCTACACAGCAGCCTCTACCATCCGTGTGTGAATATGTTTGTCTATCACTCTGTGTCTTTGGGTGTAGTCTGTGGAGATGGGTGTGGGATGGATTGTGTGTGAGTGTGTGTGTGAGTGTGTGTGTGTGTGTGTGTGTGTGTGTGGGGGGGGGGGGATTCAAGGCCTCCCAGCTGTGTCGTTCTCAGACCCTCCTTCTCCAGTTTGGTTCAGTTTTCAAGTTATATTTGTCCGGCTCTGACCTCGCCCTTGAACAAGATGTTTGTACTCTCTGCAGAAATTGAGACTAAAGCCCCATCCACACATATACGATTTTTTTGAAAACCTAGTATTTTCTCTCCCTTTTGGCGTCCCATCCACATGAAAACAATTGATAACTGAGTTTTTGGTCACTGCAAACAAAGTCTTTGAAAAACGCATCGCAAGGTGGAGATTAAAAAAAAAAATTATGTTTACTTGTATTCGTGTGAACAGTTAAAACGGTTAAAACACAGCTTTTTGTAATAGTGACGTAATTACGTCGACTTGCGTGTTGAGCATGCGTCATAACCAAGATGGCGGGCTACCGGTTTGTTTACATCTGTTCGCTGCTGTTAGGTTTAATTGCATGAATTGCATTCAAGTGTAACTCTAAGCAGCAACTCCACTTTGTCGTCCGTCCAAACGAATGAATCGGCTTTTTGTTTGTTGACTTGTTTCGCCATCTTTTCCAAATCGCCACTGTCAAAAGGACGCTTAATACGCATACTCGCAATGTTCTTTTACGGTGTTTGATGTGAACGAGACACAGCTATTATCGCCACCTACTGGCCTGGCATGCTTATGGCATGCTTATGTGAGCGTTTTCCATCGTTTTTGCGTTGCCATGTGGACTGAGATTTTTTAAAAACTGTTGGTGTGGACGGGATTTGACGGGAGGTGTGTGTGTGTGTGTGTGTGTGTTGTCAGACTTTATGACTCGAGGATGGAGAGTGATTGTTGTTGTTTGAAACTTCACGGTGACGTCGTGCTGTCAATCTCTCAGGATGTATTTAAAGGCACAGAGACGACAGATTTATGGTTTTGTAAAGTTTTGTTGTGAGAAAATTTTTTTTCAAACATTTATCTGTGGCCGTCTTTGTGATCTCTCTTTTATCTCATGTTATGGTTTCTCCTCGTCTGTCCTGCAGCAGACGACGTCTCGCCGGGCCGGTCTCTGCTGCACAAACTGTCACACCAGCACGACCACACTGTGGAGACGAAATGCTGACGGAGAGCCCGTCTGCAACGCCTGTGGACTCTACATGAAGCTGCACGGGGTAAAATAAGCTCCTCGCATTAATGTGGAAAGAGGAACCATGCTCTGTCAGGTACCCTCGCTCACCTGTCCCCCCCTCCTTCAGGTACCCCGACCTCTGGCCATGAAGAAAGAGAGCATTCAGACCAGGAAGAGGAAACCAAAGACGCCCAAAAATAAAACAGGTGAGTAAAGAAAGAACCACACAGCAGCTTCTTACAGAGTCTCTACATTCAGTGGTACTCCTCCTGTGACTGTCCTTTAGGCTCCACCCCCTCCGACAGCAGCTCTCCGTCCTCGCTCTCTGTCTCTGAACACGCCTCCACCATCAAGAGTGAACCCAACATGACCCCGTCCCCGTACACCAGACACACCATCACATCTGCCACTCAGGTACCCTCCTATACGTGTGTGTGTGTGTGTGTGTGTGTGTATGTGTGTGTATGTGTGTGTGATATTACCCGAACCCTAAACCTTTTTCACACTATGATTATGTAACTGCGCCGTAATGAAGCCCCGCCCCCATGACCTCCTTGATTCATAGTGGCGTGATATTCATGTCCTGGTCTGTGTGTTAACATGGTTACGCTGTGACACTGTGAGTCATCAAGGTGAGACCTGCTGACTCATGACTTCATCAGAGTGAGACCTGCTGACTCATGACTTCATTAAGGTGAGACCTGCTGACTCATGACTTCATCAGGGTGAGATCTGCTGACTCATGACTTCATCAGGGTGACTCATGACTTCATCAGGTGAGATCTGCTGACTCATGACTTCATCAGGGTGAGACCTGCTGACTCATGACTTCATCAGGGTGAGACCTGCTGACTCATGACTTCATCAAGGTGAGACCTGCTGACTCATGACTTCATCAGGGTGAGATCTGCTGACTCATGACTTCATCAGGGTGACTCATGACTTCATCAGGGTGAGATCTGCTGACTCATGACTTCATCAGGGTGACTCATGACTTCATCAGGTGAGATCTGCTGACTCATGACTTCATCAGGGTGAGACCTGCTGACTCATGACTTCATCAGGGTGAGACCTGCTGACTCATGACTTCATCAAGGTGAGAACTGCTGACTCATGACTTCATCAAGGTGAGACCTGCTGACTCATGACTTCATCAGGGTGAGATCTGTTGACTCATTACTTCATCAGGGTGAGACCTGCTGACACATGACTTCATCAAGGTGAGACTTGCTGACTCATGACTTCATCAGGGTGACTCATGACTTCATCAGGGTTGAGACCTGCTGACTCATGACTTCATCAGGGTGAGATCTGCTGACTCATGACTTCATCAAGGTGAGACCTGCTGACTCATGACTTCATCAAGGTGAGACCTGATGACTCATGACTTCATCAGGGTGACCCATGACTTCATCAGGGTGAGATCTGCTGACTCATGACTTCATCAGGGTGAGATCTGCTGACTCATGACTTCATCAAGGTGAGACCTGCTGACTCATGACTTCATCAGGGTGAGATCTGTTGACTCATTACTTCATCAAGGTGAGACCTGCTGACTTATGACTTCATCAGGGTGAGACCTGCTGACTCATGACTTCATCAGGGTTGAGACCTGATGACTCATGACTTCATCAGGGTGACTCATGACTTCATCAGGGTGAGACCTGCTGACTCATGACTTCATCAAGGTGAGACCTGCTGACTCATTACTTCATCAGGTTGACTCATGACTTCATCAGGGTGAGATCTGCTGACTCATGTCTTCATCAAGGTGAGATCTACTGACTCATGACTTCATCAAGGTGAGACCTGCTGACTCATGTCTTCATCAAGGTGAGATCTACTGACTCATGACTTCATCAAGGTGAGACCTGCTGACTCATGACTTCATCAGGGTGAGATCTGTTGACTCATTACTTCATCAAGGTGAGACCTGCTGACACATGACTTCATCAGGGTGAGATCTGTTGACTCATTACTTCATCAAGGTGAGACCTGCTGACACATGACTTCATCAAGGTGAGATCTACTGACTCATGACTTCATCAAGGTGAGACCTGCTGACTCATTACTTCATCAGGGTGAGACCTGCTGACACATGACTTCATCAAGGTGAGACTTGCTGACTCATGACTTCATCAGGGTGAGATCTGTTGACTCATTACTTCATCAGGGTGAGACCTGCTGACACATGACTTCATCAAGGTGAGACCTGCTGACTCATGACTTCATCAGGGTGAGATCTGTTGACTCATTACTTCATCAGGGTGAGACCTGCTGACACATGACTTCATCAAGGTGAGACTTGCTGACTCATGACTTCATCAGGGTGACTCATGACTTCATCAGGGTTGAGACCTGCTGACTCATGACTTCATCAGGGTGAGATCTGCTGACTCATGATTTCATCAAGGTGAGACCTGATGACTCATGACTTCATCAAGGTGAGATCTGCTGACTCATGACTTCATCAGGGTGAGACCTGCTGACTCATGACTTTATCAGGGTCACTCATGACTTCATCAGGGTGAGATCTGCTGGCTCATGTCTTCAGTCTGATGCTTTTCCACAGCTGGAACATGAGGGTGTTTAGTTGGAGAACAGACCAGAGCTTCAGTTCACAAAGATGTAAACGAATCACTACTTTTATTAGTAACTCCAGTTTAGTGACCATTTAGACTGACATCATATGAACACCTGTTAACGTTCAGTGTGAATGTCTCCGCCCCCCCAGCAGACGGCGTCTCAGCTGGACGGCCTGGCTTCAGGACACGTGGACATTAAATACGAGGACTTCGTCTTCACCCCGACCTCCATGTCCGCACAGAACTGGTGCGCTCTGTCTCAGGCCTGAACTTCCTCCACCTGCAACACCTGATGACATCACAGCTGATGACTTCACACAGGTGGATGTGGCTCCATGGGGGAGGACAGACAGAGCTCCACCCAGCTTTTTCCTAGCGCTGCAGGAGAGAGAGACCAAACCTGGCCAACAACAGGACTACACCAGGCCCAAAACAGGACCAGAACAGGTCAACATCAGGACCAAACCAGGACCAAACATGGTCAACAACAGGACTACACCCGACCAACAACTGAACCAAAGACAGGACTACACTAGGCCAAAATCTGAACCAAAAACAAGACTACACCAGGCCAAGATCTGAACCAAAAACAGGACTACACTAGGCCAAGAACTGAACCAAAAACAGGACTACACCAGGCCAAGATCTGAACCAAAAACAGGACTACACCAGGCCAAGATCTGAACCAAAAACAGGACTACACTAGGCCAAGATCTGAACCAAAAACAATACTACACCTGACCAGTAAGAACCAGGTTGGCATGGACCAAAACAGGACCAAACTCAGCGTTAAACAGGACTACACCAGACCAAAAACAGGACTACACCAGACCAAAAACAGGACTACACCAGGCCAAAAACAGGACTACTCAAGACCAAAAACAGGACTACACCAGGCCAAAAACAGGACTACTCAAGACCAAAAACAGGACTACACCAGGCCAAAAACAGGACTACACCAGAACAAAAACAGGACTACTCAAGACCAAAAACAGGACTACACCAGGCCAAAAACAGGACTACACCAGACCAAAAACAGGACTACAACAGGCCAAAAACAGGACTACACCAGACCAAAAACAGGACTACTCAAGACCAAAAACAGGACCATTCAGTCCAACATCCAACAGCTCAATAACCCAGGTCTAAAAAGGGACTAAACAGGGCCCAAACCAGGACTAAGCAAAGACTCAGACTGGACTAAAAGAAGGGCTAAATCAGGTTTAAACATGGACTGAATCAGGAAGTAACCAGGACTGCTGAACTAACGTCCTGTTAGGTCCAATGAGAGCTTCCTATGAGGTAAATACGTGTCACAGAGGATGGCGTGGAGGTAAACACGGGGTTTAATAACCTTTGAAAGCTCATCATCGTCTAAACGGGATCTTCATCTGAGAATAGTTTGTGTGTTTTGTCGTCGGAGCAGAAACAGAAAAAAGACAGGAGAGGTTTTTTTATGACAACGTGTAGATGGTTAACTTTTATAGGCTCATTATTTATGTGGCGATAAGGACAGGTGAAGCCTCTGCAGGTTGATTCACTCACATTAGGACTTATTAGTTTTAACAGCAGACACACAAAACCCGTCTTTAGAACCAGGACCACACGTCAGGACTTCATCACTTATTATGAGACGTGACGTGCAATGACCTTGAATGAAGAAAACAAAAAGAAGGAGATAAACGTTTAATCATATTTTATTGTGAAAGTTTTTAATTTTATTGTGAAAATGTTGTAAAGAAGTCCCCGACTGCTCTTTAGAATCTGTTCTTGTAAATAAACTGATTCACATTTTATTCACCTGATGTTTGATTTCTCTCCAATATTTTAATCAAACATTTTACTGACATCACTCCTCCATCAGAGCCCAGTCCTCTATCAGATCCCAGTCCTCCATCAGATCCCAGTCCTCTATCAAAGCCCAGTCCTCCATCAGAGCCCAGTCCTCCATCAGAGCCCAGTCCTCCATCAGAGCCCAGTCCTCTATCAGAGCCCAGTCCTCCATCAGAGCCCAGTCCTCCATCAGAGCCCAGTCCTCTATCAGAGCCCAGTCCTCTATCAGAGCCCAGACCTCTATCAGATCACAGTCCTCCATCAGAGCCCAGTCCTCCATCAGAGCCCAGTCCTCTATCAGATCCCAGTCCTCTATCAGAGCCCAGTCCTCTATCAGATCCCAGTCCTCTATCAGAGCCCAGTCCTCCATCAGAGCCCAGTCCTCCATCAGATCCCAGTCCTATATCAGATCCCAGTCCTCCATCAGATCCCAGTCCTCCATCAGATCCCAGTCCTCCATCAGATCCCAGTCTTCTATCAGATCCCAGTCCTCTATCAGAGCCCAGTCCTCTATCAGATCCCAGTCCTCCATCAGAGGAGGCTTAGGGTTAGCCTGTTATGTGATAGCACATTCATTGATTAACGTTCAAAACCATTCACTTCTACGTGTACATCCACTGAGACTTTTTAGTGTCAGTCAATGGCGACGGCCATTGACACACTATGATGCTCAACTGTAATATCATATTATTAGTTAGCTAGCTAGCGTTAGCTCACATAACCAGCATGTGTGTTGT